GCATTAGTTTCTAGTTTTAATCTTCCTCTTTGAAGATGATCACTTGGTGATCGAAACACGTGTCGAGGTATTAAAAATAGCGATTTGGTGTTGGGAAAAAACTCCAGTAATATTCATTACTACACCAAAGGTTCCAAACAGTGCATCATAAGTATTTCATTTATATGTTATTTATATTTCGCACAAAGCTTTGTCAATATCAATTCATTCTTCAGACAATAAAGTATATTTGAATTGAATTGAATGTTTTTGGAAAAAATGGAAAATTCATCATATTTTTTGAACAGATCTGGTATGTATATCGCTCTGTTAAAACTAACGAAAATTTCCCGAAATCATTGATGTGTGCCCGGAAGTAAAGGTGTACCCTGTTAGATATGCATAGAGATCGGTTTCAGGAATAAGTGTACTTCATCTCCTGATAGCGCCAACTTGATTATTGAAACGCGCGTCGAGAAAAGTGTTGCAGTTCGTGTGTTTGTGAAGTGTGCTTGTTTTGGGGTCATTCTACGCCAGAAGTTCTATCGTTCATTTCAGTGTCGAATGTTGATGTCAGGGGGTATAATTACACTCATCACCCTCCCTTCCTTAAAATCCGCCTTGGCTAAAATTGATAACCTAACAGTTGAGATCATAAAGTTTTGGGTCGCAAATGTTTACCACATTCCGGACTAATATCGATTCAAGTTTGTGCCAACTGACTTATTCAACGAGAATGTTTATTTTGTTCGCGGGTCGTCAACGGGACCAGGCATTTCAAACTTTGAACAAGTACAACAACAACAAAAGCCACCTTTGTTATGCGAAGTTACTGGAGCGCAAGCCGTGGTCGAGCTAAGCACAGTCATTTCCTTGAAGGCTTTACCTTCCACTTTCGGGGCCCTCTTGACGAACGACAAAAACAAATGCCTGCACAGCTCCTCGGGCGTCCGCACCTCCAGAAAGGTGTCCAGGAATTTGTGGAAGCCCTCGTAGTCGATGTCCTGAAACAAATAATGACAACGTTAATGCATGAGGTTTGGTGATCCAACTAATATCATCAAACGTTGTTTTCGTTTCGAAAGAGTTAAAAAAATTCGTAGAATAACAATTTAGTTTTCTACCAACGTTTTGGACTCAAATAAATCCAT